TTAATATTTAAAAAAATTAATTTTTTTAAATGCATCATTCAATGTAAAAGAAGATATGCAAAATCTGATTTAAAAGCACTATAAATATTTTAAAAAATAAGTAATAAAAAAAAAATTTAATATAGTCGGAAGGTGAAGGTCCAAGTCCAACAACCATAAGTGGTCAGACATTATTAACGGAGATTCGAGGAAAGAAGATCCAAACACTTAGAAACATTGTGACATGAGACATGTCTTCACTCTCCCGCATTTCATATTTGCATGTTCTACTTGTTTGATTTGTTAGAGGCAAAACATGATCTTTCACCACCAGGGGAGGCGGGGACCAGGGTTGGTTGATGAAACAAATGAAGAGAACATGTTTAATAAAACTTGTACGTGTTTCAATTTTTTGATAATTTAAATTTTTTTTAATTTATATTTTTTATTTTTTTTAACTTTAAAAAAACTTTAAATAGTAATTTAAAAAAATTTTAAATTTAAGTGTTTTATAAACTTTTTTTTATTTCACTTATTATTTATTATTTTTAAAAATAATTTTTAAATTTTTCTCAAAAAAAATTTAAACTAATAATTTATAAATAGTACTTAAAAAAAAATAAATTTCTAGGAAGCTCACTGATGAGTAATTTTACAAGAAAGTGAAAAAAAATCAGCTGAAACTGAACGGTGCAGTACTCATCTACGATTTTCACCATGGTTGATGTACCACCACTTGATTTTTAACCAAGATGGGAATCATTGAAGTTGGATTGGCAAAGGTGGGGGCCATGGTGGGACCTCAGTTGATCAGAGATGTGGGTGTTTCTGAAGTTCCATGAGCTCCAATACAGCTATAAATTCCCGGATTAATATACCAACTGTAGTCCCCGTACTATTGAAAAAAATTCAATTTAAACGTTCTACTATTAGTTTACCTCATGTCCTCCCTTACTATTGAAAAATACATCAATGGTCGTCCCTCTCCCTCCGTTAGGGGTAACGGACTATTTGTTATTTGTTAACCTGCAGATGGTTAGACGTTTGGGCCTTATTTTTATTTTTATTTTTGTCTAGCAATGCATTGGTGAGCCCTATTTCCTTGTGTAACAGTACACATCAAAAAGCCCCAAATTTCTTTTTACTTATTTAAATTTAATGTAAATTTACATTAATTAAGATAATTAATTGGAATTAATTAAAATTAATCAATTTAAATGGTCAAAATCAACAAAGTTAGCTCATTAAGAACCTTATAGTGGGTTTGTTGGGCTTAAAAGGGGGTTTGGTCCAATGTTCATTTCTTTTTCTTTTTATTTTATTTTTTATTTTTGTTTTTTATAGCCCAATCCAATAAAAAAAAAGGGAAAAGAAAAGAAAGAGAAAAAAAAAAATCCAAATATTCCAGATTCAATTTTCAGCTAAAATGGAGGAAACTCAAAGTTGAGTTGGTCTTTCTACACATAACAACTGCAATTTCAAATAACAACCACAATTTCAACCAACAAACCATAAATTCACAACTAACAATGCACTGAAAAAATCAACAAATCTTTGGCAACATTCAACATAAGTAAATTCTAAATCTTGAAAATTAGAGAGAATACTCAACAAAAAAATCCTAAATCTAGAGAGGAAAAACCTAGAAAAAAATCGTTGAGAAAAACCAAAGCTCTCTATTGATACAAACCCTAAAAACCCTAAACTTTGGTTTTTTGCTTTTTGTTTTCCACCATAGATCAAGCCTCCTTTCCTTCTATGTCGTAGATTTAGAGGGCTTCTAGTTTTCCTACTAGTAAGGAAAGGGACAAGCATGCCTTTGGGTTGTCTCTTCTGTAGGGCTTTTGAAATGTGAGACCATATAATTGGATGACGTCTTGAATAGTGACAAGAAAAAGTAAAACTTGATTGAAATTTTACAAAAAAATGGAGGGTTCAATGGAACCCTAACCCAAGAGAAGGGAAAAATGGGTTTGAACTTTGAAGGGAAGAAAGAAATTTGAGCCTTTTAGATGTGCACTATTATGTGAGGTTATTAATAAGCAACTAATGTGGCATAGGGTGGGGCCCACCATACATAGCTTGAAAAAAAATAAAAATAAAAAGGGCTTAAATGTCTAACCGTTTATAGGTTAAAAATCAACAAACAATCCATTACCCCTAAAATAGATAGAGGGACAACATTGATATAATTTTCAATAGTCGGGAGAGAACATGTGAAGTTAAATGATGGTAGATGGAGGACATGAGATGAATTGATAGTAGAAGGTATAAATTGAATGTTTTTCAATAGTAGAGGGATGAGAGTTGGCGTTAACCCATAAATTCCCAAACAATGACCGTTAGGTGGGTCCCCCCCTCGTGGCCTCTCTCCCTCTCCCCTCTAAATTTTTTATCCACGGTGTTTGACATATATTATTGATTGACTGCACCAATCAGGGAACTTCCATAATTATTACTCTGTTTTTTTTTGATACATCATAATTATTACTCTGTACTTAACTTTTTCTTTTTGGTTAAAATCCTTTTTTGGTCCCTGAACTATTATACGGACCCCCGATTTAGTCCTTAAACTAAAAAAATATCTGATTTGGTCCCTACTGTTTACTATTTTTACCCCAATTTGGTCCTTCCGTTAAAAATTGTGTGACGTAGCATGTTACTTAACAGTTACCAGATGACATGTCATATAATAATATAAAAAGTGATGATGTGGAAAAAAAAGTGATGATGTGGAAAAAAATAATATAAAAAAATATTATGAAAAATAAAACTTAATTTTTTTTTCTTTTTTCTTTTTTTCTTTTTCTTTCTCCTTTCCCTTTCCCTTTCTCTTTCTCCTTTCCCTTTCCCTTTCTCTTTCTCCTTCCCCTTTCTCTTCCTCCTTCCCCTCGGAACCCAGCAGGTCTGGGTTCCTTCGAACCCACCCAGCCCTGGGTTCGACAAACCCAAGTCGAACCCAGGGCTGGTGTTGGCTGAACCCAGCCCTGGGTTCGACGAACCCAGGTTGAACCCAGCCCTGGGTTCGACGAACCTAACGAACCTAGGCGCCTGGGTTTCGTTTGCACCCAGGCGCTGGGTCTCTTCTTGAATCCGGGCACTGGGTTCCTTTGAGAACCCAAGAGCTGGGTTCGTTCGAATC